CCCTAGTTTCAAAAGACAATAGGAAACTCTGCTAAGCACTGTAGTTATAACTTTTTAACTTATTTCTGTATAATCACTTTTATAAAACTAATCTTTGTCTACTTGTGTTTTTTGAGAAGTCAGATGTGGAAATTATTATGAAAAGATAGCACATTAAGTGGAGAGTTTATGTATGGAAACATATGATAATTCTGCTGATAGACTTGTCAGTGAACCATTTCCAAAATTTTGTCCCATTACTAAAAGATGCTGTATTTTACGCGTAATAATTTGCACTGGTATACAGGCTGCAGAGCCAATTTTTAGCAGTTTTCTACATATTAACTACACTGGAATAAAAGCTGTAACCTTTTTTATGATATGTTAATCATTTGAACAAAGTTTGTTGATATAACAGAAAACGGAGGACAATTTATCAAGATCATCAGTTAAACTTTTATTAAGTTTGCAAATTATTTATGCACAAGTAATCCTTTTATATCATTGATGTTTCTAAAAAAATATCTTTGATCATTCAAAACACATAAAATACAAAGTATTGAACTTGTTTGGCTTGTGGCCTTCAAAGATTTCTACCCTTAGATATGGGGCCTGACGTTATGTATGGTTTGCGAAACAATCTCTGCATTGGTGTCTGTACTGTTAAATATTAATGTAGGTCCTTGCATGTTGACAAAGTTTTATAGTTCCATATTATTTCTTCTTCTAAGTTACATGTGCATGAAGCCATTCATATCGTAAACAAGCATGGCGGTCTAGAATTTGACCTTTCACCCGATGACATATTGACCCCAGGGTACGAAAGCTATTGTAAACTTTCCCCATGCCTTCTTGTAATTGCTGTGAAGTAACTTCGAAAGTCAAGAACATCTTATTGCGATTCACATTAAAAAGTATGATTATATCGCAATTTTGAAATCATACTCTGTGCTATTACAAGTGACAATTCTACGTGATCCATTTTAGTCACAAACACATGGTGTGCAAGTACTCTTAAAAACACTTCTGAATCTGGTACTGGTATATATATATTTTTTTTCATTTTGCATATTTTTTTTGTCTACATATAAGCCACATGCCCAATTCATGAGGAAAAAAGTTGTGGTTCAACATTCGGAAATACGGTATATGGTTGTGATTTCTTAAAATATGAATGAGTCCTTAGAATATGAATTAGTCTCAAAGGAAAAGCAGGAGATCAGTACTTAGATATCTGAGTCCAAAAAATTACTGATAGTAATATAGAGCATTAAAAAGTGCATTTTGAAATTAAAATAAAAACTCAAAAATATAAAATAAATAAAACACTTAAAAATGATTTCAAGTTGTAAAATCACACCACAAATTTTCTACAGTTGTAAAATGTCAAACAAACTTTGTTTTTATATCTTATGGATTATACATTGTAAAAGGTTGAATAGTACAAAGACTTCTGTGTTGCATGTTGCTTCTTTGCACTTACAAAAACAATTCATGTGTAATGTAAGAGATGGATTTTAACTTGTACCTGTAAAATTTTACATATTTACTAGACAGACAGAAAATTTTCTGTGTTATGTAATAGATGGATTTTAACTTGTACCTGTAAAATTTTACATATTTACTAGACAGACAGAAAATTTTCTGAATGTATTCAAGAAAATTGTTGAATTTTGCAGCTTAAGTAGAATTCAACATCTTATGTAACTTTTCAAAACAAAAATTGTTATAACGTGTAAAGTTGAAGTATTTAAAATAGAGTGCACCCTAGATTCATAATCCTGTTTATATCTTAGAGTACTAATAATGCTACTTAGCTATGAAACCTTATCTGTTTTATCTGTAATAAAATTAAATGTTAAATCACTTGTGTATTAAAGTTCACTTCACTTGATGGCCAGCTCTCTTCCTCCTTCCGGTCAAGTCTGCTAGATTAGACAGACATGCATCTTGTCAGTGATATTTGGGACATTTGTGTCCTGGACTCGTGATTTTTCTGTGGACACATTATATTTCTTTGTAACTGGACTGATGAAGATTTTGGAACTGGTGCTTTTGATTTATCAGAACAGAATCTTACATAAATTACAGCTGTTGATCAGGTCATGAGCTCACTATACTGATCAATATAGGGGAGAGTTACAGTGGAAGGCATGTGTTTTATTAAGAAGTCCTTATTTTAATTTTAGTTTTAAGTAATTTGAAAAAAAAAAAGTTTCTATACCTTAAGGGACATAACTCTTGCTATTTGTGATGGCTATTTAGAATTGAACAAGAGAAGAAGGGAGGTAACTGTGTCACATTTAGAGATATATTTGCAAGGAGGTAACTGAGGAGTGATAACTCATTTTGTAAAATTGAAGTTGACCAGGACAGATGAAGAACAGACATGTATAATTATTTCATTACATATTTCAATACTGGGCTAGAAAATTGTACAGTCTGAATGTTACATTTTATATTCAATGATAAATTAGAATTATAAAAGCTTTATTTTATTACTACAACATAGATTTATTTAAAATTACACCAAAAAATGACTTAAACATCTAAAAATATTTTTTATAGTTCAGTGGTGAACACAAAACATTCACACACTGTCATCAAGACAACAAACCTATAATATATATACAGTTCAGTGATAGACATAAAACTTTCACTCACTGTCATCATGAAACCATGTCTACAATATGTCTACAGTGTCATCTGTGAGTAATATTAGCACTAAAACTAAAACCTTGTACAATGTAATTTTGTGTCTGTAATTGTTAAGTGTTTGTAGTGGCACAGCTGATGTTCTAGTCCCTACAGTCTGTCAGTTTGTGGAAGTGGTTGTGTCTATATAAATTGGTTGAGTATGCATGCTGCTGTTTGGGACCCACAGAGGTGAACTGCGGTTATTGTGCTTTTTATCCAGGTACAGTGGTGTACAACATTGTAAATAATGGATTTGCAGGGCACTGGGATCTGCTGTAAATTGTAGACTTACAGGGCACTGGGACCTACTGTAAATTGTAGACATACAGGGCACTGGGACTTGCTGTAAAGTGTAGACTTACAGGGCACTGGGACCTACTGTAAATTGTAGACTTACAGGGCACTGGGACTTGCTGTAAAGTGTAGACTTACAGGGCACTGGGACTTGCTGTAAAGTGTAGACTTACAGGGCACTGGGACCTGCTGTAAAGTGTTGACTTACAGGGCACTGGGACCTGCTGTAAAGTGTAGACTTACAGGGCACTGGGACCTGCTGTAAAGTGTAGACTTACAGGGCACTGGGACTTGCTGTAAAGTGTAGACTTACAGGGCACTGAGACCTGCTGTAAAGTGTTGACTTACAGGGCACTGAGACCTTCTGTAAAGTGGTGACTTACAGGGCACTGAGGCTTGCTGTGAAGTGTGGTACATTACCACAATCAGTGTACTATATTACATTATTATATAACACTTTTGCAGCTGAGAACAGGCTGTTTTCTCAAGAAGTGTTAAGAATCAAGAAGTGTTATTTATCCCAATAAAGAATTACTCATGAAAATATGACTTCATTACAGATCCCTGCTATGTAAGCATATGTACAAACCGTGGTAAACTCTATGTTGAAACATCACTGCTTATGTGCCTTCACAGACAATACCTTACTTTAAGTTATTTTAAAATTTATAAAAATACGTGTTTATATAGACAAGAATGAGTACTGTGGGCTTTTTAAAGATTTGTTTTAGAAAGTTTATGAGATTTCCCAAAATTTGTGGCATATATGTGATGAAATAATTAAGATTTCTAAAGTCGTCAGGAACACAGGTATCAGGTACACAGAAGTGTTAGCATTTCTACCCGTGATATATTTCAGCGATATGTTTCATAGTATTGTAAGTGTTTGAGGATATTGATTAAAGGCTGCATTTAATTCTTGTAATATGGTAACATATGGTAACAATATAGGGTCTTGACTTTTAATGTGAAAGCAACATGTGACAGTTTAAGACAGTATCTTCTGTGTCAGTACTCCAGTATCTTCTATGTCAGTACTCAATATCTACTATGTCAGTACTCAGTATCTTCTATGTCAGTACTCCAGTATCTTCTATGTCAGTACTCCAGTATTTTCTATGTCAGTACTCAGTATCTTCTATGTCAGTACTCCAGTATCTTCTATGTCAGTACTCCAGTATTTTCTATGTCAGTACTCGGTATCTTCTATGTCAGTACTCAGTATCTTCTATTTCAGTACTCCAGTATCTTCTATGTCAGTACTTCAGTATTTTCTATGTCAGTACTTCAGTATTTTCTATGTCAGTACTCCAGTATCTTCTATGTCAGTACTCCAATATTTTCTATGTCAGTACTCCAATATTTTCAATGTCATTACTTCAGTATTTTCTTTGTCAGTACTCAGTATCTTCTATGTCAGTACTCCAGTATCTGTCAGTACTCCAGTATTTTCTATGTCAGTACTCCAGTATTTTCTATGTCAGTACTCCAATATTTTCTATGTCAGTACTTCAGTATTTTAATATTTTCTATGTTAGTACTCAGTATCTTCTATGTCAGTACTCCAGTATTTTCTATGTCAGTACTCCAATATTTTCTATGTCAGTACTCCAATATTTTCTATGTTAGTACTCAGTATCTTCTATGTCAGTACTCCAGTATCTGTCAGTACTCCAATATTTTCTATGTCAGTATATTCCTTTAAGTGTTGATATACCCTTGTATATTCTGTGACGGCACTGAAGTATCTACTGTGGTGTTACTGCTGTGTCATTTGACTCCCCGTTGTATATTCCAATACCTTCAGTGTTAATATACTAGGTATCTGTGTTGGTATACTTGAGCCCATGTTCACCATGTGTCTCCCTTCCTGAAGGCTGGTGTACTTAGGACAGTAGTTATATACACATGATGGGGGATACAGTGATACACTATACACGGGATGTAAACCAGATGTTGACGACTCTTACGCTCACACTGACTCACTGACAGACAAGTCTCCCAACAACTTTCTACAGGGATTTACGCTGCCCTGCCCAAGATTGTCCCCATTGTAGTGACCACAACCTTAGTGTTCTGTATACAGGTGTGTGTGTGTACAGGTGTGTCAGTCATCAACAGGTGTGTTGGAATATATGACTTAGGGACTAGACCCTAGAGGAGGGAAGGAGAGTTCAAGAAGATGGATCAAGCCATTGTGTAATGTGTCTCCTGTGTGTTACAGAAATTATCAGGGCTTAAGCCTTGTTAGATATGCTGGGTCTATTCTGTGTGGAAATATATACTACCAGAGTTTCTAGTAAAATGTGGATCTTTAAAAAGATGTGTTATGTGTGACTTCTAGCAAAACGTGGATCTTTAGAAAGTATTTTTGTTGTAGGTTTTACAGCAAAACTTTTATATGTGTTTGAGAAAAAATCATGAGTTTGATGTGTATATTCCAGGAATATAATTGTGATTTATATAATTATGTATTTACGGTGAGTTTTTGAAAGTGGTTTCAATTCATATACAGGAAGTTAATGATTCGTGACGTCGGTTTTTTTTATCATAACGTGAGAGTATGCCGCTGGGAAAGAAATGGCGGTCCATGGAAGTCCTCAATTTTGGATCCAAGGCCATGGGACCCCTGGAAAGTTTTCTCAACTCGAGAAATAAGTCTGGATCACGGGAAAACTTACGTGCTTCTGGATCTCGGTTTGGTTCTCGGGAAAGCTTGAATCTAGACCATAATCATAATAGACACCAACCATCACAAAGTAGAAGTCTTCGCAGCAGGTGGGTATGGAGAAGAAAAAAAAGGCCTTACACAAAAATTATATGTAGTTATTAAAAATTACATGTATACATGTCTTATTTGTTTGGTCGATCAAATTCCTATTGTTTCAATTAAAATGTAGAAAAAGTATAAGATGCTTCACAACTGCTATTCTATAGTTGAAGCAGATGCTGCATTCCATACATTGCTTTGATAAAAAGCTGATGGTACGATCATGTGTAATACTGGGTTTCCCGTATATCTTAAATTTGTCTGTTTAGCGATGACTGTATGTTGACAGAAGTAGGTCGGTCACTCAATAATTTTAAAATTTAAGAGTAAAAAAAAACTTTTCTATATTTAGGGTATATAAAAAATGAGTTTGCTGTATCCTGCAACTAGCATGGAAGTGATGAATGAAGAGATTATTTAAATGCTACTTCGAAGTGTTGAAAATCTTGCCAATGTTTCATAGATATTCTAGGGATGAAGTAAGGTAGTAAAACAAGCAAGGATCAATCTCATCGTTTGAAAGAATACAAAGATTTTTCAAAATTGTCCAGGAAGTTTTAGTTCTGACCCATGTTCTTTGATGGAGTTTTGAGGATGGACAACTTTTATTAACATCACACATTGTTTTATCCCTAATTAGTCCACTATGGGTAAAATCCAGGGAGACCACAGTCACCACCGCCTCAACTGTCTATGAGAATATTGTCAAACGAGGCTGGTACCTGTGGGACGAGGGGTGGAATATTGTTTTCCTCTCCGTCTGTCCCTGTGTCTGTCACTGCGTCTGTCCATGCGTCTGTCCATGTGAAAGTTTGTCATTGCTCTTTAGTGGCTGTATTCTGTGAAGGATACTCATAAAAAATTCACACAATTATTAGGCATCAAAATATCTTGGACTAATTTGATTTTCAGCATTCTTGGTTCAAGGTCAAAGTCACTTACTATTTTTAGAAAATTTGTAAACCATTACGATGAAATAGCTTGTCGTGGTAGGTGGGGGACATGTACTTTATGAAGCAAGACACAATTTTCTTGTTTTATATATAAATGACATGCATGATACGAAAAAAGACTAGACTTTACATGGACATAAAGATTGATATCATAATTGGTATGAAAATGATGTAATACAGTTTGTAAAAAAGGGGAAAAAATAGACATAAGATTTAACATTATAACAGACTTAATTTACATAGATATATTGAGTAAGTTTACCAGCTACAGTCCATAAATTAGAGGCGAGAGCAATTCATTAAAGGTGAAGATCGTAAATAACATCTCGTCCTCTGACTAACAGGTTCTCGGTTATGTAATTTACAAGAAGCAGGAAATGTGAGAGGATTCGATATTAGCATATATATTATCATAACATTTCATGAATATATTTTGTATATGTCAGTTTGCGGTGTGGTGAACACTACATGCAAGACAAATAGAATTTCAAGTCTCCTCTATTGTAGTATGATTGTAAAGGAAAAGTCAAAGAGATTTGGATTTTTTGTTTTTACGATATCAATGGGTGATTAAAACTTTTAAGATGTATTAATTTGTATGTACAATAATTGAAATTGATGTTCCCCTTCGTATTTTAAAGTTCGGACTACAAAGCTTTCCCCTAAAATTGTATTTAAGTTCGGAAGTCATTGGAAACTGACAGTGCAAATCCAGAATTTTACCAAAGGGGTGTTTTATACCCTTATTTTGGGGTCATGGAAACACTTGCTAAAACATCATATATCATTATATGCTTTTTGTTTTATTATTAAGTTTTAACTTTGGTTTTTTGTCTTTGTTGTTGATATATAGAATCATCAATAACAGTAGAAGTGATAGTAGAACAGTGGAGTGTCTGTAGTATTCACATACATGTAGGATTTGATACATGAATTGGTTTGAAACATATATTATTGTCGTTAATGTCATCCTTTAGTCATAACCACCTGTACTTCCATTTCTTAATACTACAGGTGACTTTAGGATGTGACAACTGGCCTCCGTCAATGTAATAACACGATTGATCGTCAGTGACCCGTGACAACTGGTCTTAAATTTGAATAATTTCCTGTGAAGTATAATGATATTATACATGTACACACCTGTGTAACTTTGCTGATTTTAAACGGTTAAATCTGAGCAATGTAAAATTTGAAGTCATCTTTTATTTCAGTACAATTTGTGTGATGATTACAAAACTATATACATTTGGTAGATGTAAGCAGATTTTTTGTGAGTGGGAACGTTTTCTGTCTACTGCATGCATAACTTGTTGATGTAGGGGTGTTGTACAGTATCAGGTTGCTACAGGTTAATGCTTGGGGACTATTGTAACACAGGAATGTTGTTTTCTGCCTGGAACTGAATCTCCTTACACCCCACTGCTTTTATCTGATGATGAGTTGCCATGGTTACGGTGATGTTGTATTTTGTCATTTATGAGTAAATACATGTATGTACACACGTAACAAGACCACTCGCCAACATCATAGGCAGAACAAAAGTCATTATATAGGAGTTAGAGGCTACGGCACCATCCTTGTCACTCTTAGTAACATTCTTAGAGGGGTCAGAGGTCATCAGTGTATACAATATAGGAAGGGTCAAAGATCATGTTGTACAGTGGTGGGTAGAGTTCAGAGGTCAAGATTATCATCATCAGTGTTTACAATATAGGAGGGTTCAAGGGTCATAAGTGTATTATATAAAATTAGTCAGGGGTCAGGAGAAATCAGAACAGGCCTGTAGTCTCTCCCACTGCAACATTTTGTCAAGATAAAGTTTTGCTGTCTTGTGAACAAAATAAAATTGAAATAGTTACTTTTTAGATTGAAATCATGACATGTGTGAAAAATATATACATTTTCTTTACTTCAACCATTTTGAAAAACTTCGAAAATATGAACTATTGTGAAAAACAACTTTTACAGTATTTCAGTATAGAGTTACTCGAAAGGTCAGGGGTCAAATCTTATGACAGAGATCAGGAGTGAGTTTCATACTGTGCTGAGGTCAAATGACAATTCCTAAGGTCATAAGGACATGTCAGATCTTTCAATTACTGTAGCGTTTCATAGGAAAGTTTGAACTGATAGATCTAAATGAAACAGTTGCTATGAGGTTGATTGGTTAGAGGTTAGTAAACTATGACATGTTATAAACATTGAGGAAGTACTTCATGATGAGTTAGATTTATGTCGCTGTCATACAATATACTCACAAAAGTATTTATGTGTGTCAAGTCTGCGCAAAACTGAAGTGACAGTCAGTTGTATCAGCCATGCTGTAGAGATATTTCATACTTCCTCCAGGGCATTGATTTTGTCAGTGTTTTTTTTCCCGTTGTCGGTTTCCGTTGCATTTTATTAATGATACAGATTTCATCATCTATTTCATTCATGTACAAAAAATTAATTAATGGCTGAAAATTATTTTGATCTCATTTGCCATGTATGTTTAAGAAATACTGGTAGTTATAATTTCCCGTATCATTGGTGTGCAAAATTTGATTCCTTGCTGCTTGTTCGTTGATGCATAAAATGAAATTCATATCTCTCCTTTTGTGTGCAAAATTAAATTAGTATCATTGATTCGCAAAATTTAAGAAAAAAATTTCACTACTATTCAAAATAAATAAGATTGTAAAACCAAATGTTAACTTAAATACTTGTCATTGTGGCTTTATCTCTATATGTACTCAGATATTCAATGGTTGGTTATTCATTATAGCTCAGTAAAGATGGTTATGTACACCTAGAGAAAAAATGGTGAAAGAAAATGACAGCCTCATGGTTACATGTTGGCCAACGGAATGTATTGACTTTTTGGTAGATAGGAACATTTGTAGGAATATAATGTCTTCATTCACACTTAGTTCAACCTACACAATGTTCAATATTTCATCACACAACAGAAAACAGAAATTTCTTCTTTAATAGTAAAGTTGGTGCCAAAAAAAATTTACCACCATAAAAAGGGAGATCACTCTTGAATTATATTTTCGTTCCCTATCATTTAGATAATCTATTTCTACCTAATTTGATTTTAACCTGCTCTATATTTATAAACATGTATGCTCGAAATTAATCATGTTTCTGAATTTTTTTTTTTTTTATGTTTTTTCCTTCCCAAACATTGTGAGTTTGCCTACTTTAAATCATTTTGAATTATGTATTATACAAACTGCCAAACTGATTAACATCGAAAGGCAGGTCATAGTGATACAGAAGGCCTGGTTCTGTCCTGCTGAGACATCAGTGGCTGTAGATATGTATTACGTAAGACCTGGTATGTTTATGTCCTACATTGCTTAAGTGTATATGCATTCCTGAATAGTAGGGCAGTTTACTTAAACATCACTAAACCCACTTCTGTATAGCTACTACCTGCTAATTAGCTGGGATGTTATGGCTAAGAATATGCAAAACTGATTATACAAAGATAATTTGGTGTTTTTATGGAAATTCTTTCAAATTTTTTAAAACATTATACATGGTTCCTGTATAGTACGGAGTCACCTACCCAATCAGTTTTCCCTTGATACTGCAGTTTCTTCCCACATTAAGACTTGTTGCATGCTTCCATCTTGGCCAATAAGAGTGATTGATATAAGCTTAAAGCTTGTTTCACAATTGTTGTAAAATAAATAAATAAATATATATATCAGTATTATTACATGTTTTGTTACATAGTAAAATGTGGAATTCTTGTAAAAGTACATTGTCTGATGAATGGTTCGTTTTCATTTGATTTTTACATAAATGACCATCACACCTGGTAGACCATTTAGTTTGGTCTCCTCAAGCATGAATCATCTTGTTGACTTGTGATATTGCCATAAAGTCTTTGGTGCGGATTTTCATGACAATATTACCAAGATCTAATCAATCTACATCAGTTTAAAGCTTTAATGTAATGTGACCACCCGGTCAAGCCTCACATTGACCAGGATGTATTAAGACACCACAGTGAAACTATGACCAGGTGTACCCAGCTTGTGCTGTTTCATTTGGTG